ATATATATATATATATATATATATATATATATATATAAAATATATATATTCTATACACACCTTTCCCCCGCAAAGACAGTATTTATTGGTGGGTTGTATATAGCCTGCTTCAGTGGCAGCATCGTCCAGAACTTAAACCCATGCTGGTCAGAGACCACAGAAAACAGAGCCCAACTAACCAGGCCCCACCAGTTGGCAGGGCCAGGCCAGGACCAGACAGTCCCCAGACTCAGCTGGGAGTCTACCTGCTCGACAGCCACCGCTGGGATCTACAGGACATGGAGGGAGCAAGCTCTACCTGGACAGGGCATGAACTGTACACCTTTGTCAATGTGTGCTGTCAACCTGTGGCACTGGCATGGATGTGGATGCAAGGACTGCTTTGGAGACTGGGAGTGGGGTGGGGCTCAGATGCACTCAGAGAAGGGAAGAAGGGGTCGTCACAGGATGCTCACCCCTGCCTGGGACCAGGGCACTCAGTCAAGGCCAGCCCCTTCCTGGGTATTTATTCTCTATTTATTGGGGACAGAAGAGCCCTGCTTGGGTGGTGCAGCAACTCCAGGCCCTCCTTCCTCCCTGCCTGGCCACTCTACCTCCTCTTTGCTTTTTCTGGGCCACTGTGACTTGGGGGCTGGGAGAATAGCAGAGAGGCCAGGCGCAGGCAGGGCTGGGGGGGGGAGGGGCATAGTGGAGGCTTGGGGCCTGCAGGGGCTCCCTAGGGCTCCCTTCTGCCCACCACTTCAGATGATAGGTGTAAATAGCTTTGGGGGGCAGTTGGGTAGGTGAGTGGGAGCTCCTGGTGGCCCACTGCTCTCTAGGCCACAGCCGCCCTTGGGTTCCATCTTGCTAATAAACAATGGCTCTTGGACTGGACTTTGGCTTTTCTCCTTGGCAGAGGAGGGAGGATGGGGGTTCAGCCCACACCCAGATTTTGTCCCTCCTGCCCCCCCACCATGTGGGCCACGTGGCCCACCAATTCCCACACTTTCTGTTTTGCAAGCCCAGCTTCCATTTGCTCATTCAATTGTTTGATCATTTAGTCAATGTTGCTTTCTCACCTGGCTTTCTGTCTGGCTTTGTGCTGGACACTGAGGACTCAGAACTGGTAAGACAAAGCCATAGCCCTCACAGTCCAGCTGCCTCTGCCCTGAGAGTCGACAAAATCCTCGTTCTTCCCGCCTACTTCCAGCCAGCTCTTAGCAGAATGCCCAGCATGAGCAAATGTCCAGAGGTGGGGAAGGCCAGGAGGAGAGGTGGGGAGCTGCAGGAGAGAAGGAAGTGGGGCTGGGGGCCCTGAACCAAATTCACAAGTCAAGCCCTGGCAGGGGGAGCTAAGAGCTGGGGAGGTTATGGATCCATCAGGGCTTAGGGCCATATCTGGCAGGTAAGGGGAGCCAGGTGGAGACTGGGAGGCAGTGGATTAGCCCCACTACTTTAAATCAACCCAATATATAGAAACCAGGTTTTCAGTGGCTTAGCAAACCTGGGCTCCTGTATCACCCCAAACCCCTGGGGAATGTATAAGGGGCTGCAGAGACCCCCAGAGCCCACTTACAATGTGGGAGGTGGAGGATGGATGGAACCTGAAGGCTGAAAGTGGCACAAATGATCTGTTGCTACTGGAGAGATCCCCTCTCACCCAACAGGGTAGATGATGAAGCCACCAACCCATAGCAGGAGCCAGTATCCACTTCCCACATGTTTAGGGACAGTCTTCAATTCTCAGTATCTGGGGCCCTGGCACCCCCTCATGGTCTCTCGTGTCTGCAACAGAGTCGAGTACTAAAAGGCAGCCAGGTTTCCAGGAGGGAGTCCAGCCAGGAGGCCGTGAGAGCCCAGGATTTGGGTCTTCTGATGGGAGGTGGGAAATCTCCAGAGCCTGTGAACTCAACACTACGGCTCAATGGAACCACTTCCACCCAGCAGCCCGCCCTGTCCCATCCGAGCCCACACACAGACCCCTGATACTGAAGCAGGCATGCACTAGAGATACCCCTAGGCAGGTCCCAAGCACCCATGAGGGACAGAACAGGAGCAGAGCAGATGAGCTCCACTACTCTGCCCCTGAGAGCACCAGACCTGCTCTGGGACTTAGTTTCCCCATCTGACAACAGGCCTGCAAAAAATTCTCTGGAGGAGCCTGGCCACTTCTGCAGGTCAGAGACTTTGTTGCACTCGAGTACACATGTACACACAGGCACATGCAAGTATGCACACATACAGGTATACACATGCATAAATGTACACGCACACAGGAACAGACAGGCCAGTGCGTACTAACATGCATTGCACATGAACATGCACATATGCGTTCAAGCACACACGTTAATCCACACAAGAACGGCAATATATACATACAAGCACTGTGCACATGAAGAGAAATACACAAAAGCACACCCGCACGTGTGCATACACATGCACTCACAAAAGAACAAACACACAGGCACATGTACACACAAGTATACAGTGACAAACGTGTCATGTCATTGCCTTGCTTGGTGCCAGGAAAGGATAGACACACACACCCAGGCACACAGCAGACATGCACACCCACCCAAGTCCATTGGAATCATGGAGGCATGTAGAGGCCCTGCCCAGGTCAGATCCGCCCTTGGTACGGGACAAATGCAGGGTCCACCTTTCCCTCTTGACTCCCTGCAGAGCTCTGGTCCAGAGTCACCCAGCCCTTCTCAACCAGCCCCTGGTGTATGACTCTCTGAGCCTCCACTTCCTTAACGGTAAAATGGAGCTGATGGTGGGGCACCCACCCCCCAGGGCCAGTGTGCGCTTACAACAAGATAAGCAGCGCTGAGCCCAGTGCTGGGCAGGGGCCAGGTGCTCTGTGCATGCTTCTCCCTCTACTCCCCGCTGCCAGCCCCACCCCTATTGCTCCCACTCCTGGGACTTGAGGCCCTATCCTCCCCTTTCAGAGTTTGGATCCTACTGAACATGTCTCCCTGCTCTGGGGCAGGGGCTGGACTGTCTCCAGAGTCTTTCCTGGAGTGTTAGTGGGGGAGGGTAGAGGAGAGTGCAGAGTCAGCAGTTGAGGGATTGGGGCCATGCCAGCCCGATTAGAAGGGCAGGGGGCTGAGCTGGATTCACCTGTCCTTGTCTCTGATTGGCTCTTGGGTACCCCCAGCTCCCAAATCCTACTAAGCAGCCCCACCAGGGCCTGCACAGGTCTGTGGAGAGCCAGTTGATTGCCAGTCCTGGGGCCAGAAGGGTGTCTGTGGAGGCCAGAGGCTGGCCTGAGCCTGGCTCTGGGGATCTCCTCCATCCGGAAGAGCCAACTGACCACCCTGTTCTTTTACCCGCTGCCGGGACCATGGGGGCTGGGGCCAGCGCAGAGGAGAAGCACTCAAGGGAGCTGGAAAAGAAGCTGAAAGAAGATGCTGAGAAGGATGCTCGAACCGTGAAACTGCTGCTTCTGGGTAGGGGTGTGGGCCCAAGTGGGGCTATTGCCACCAGGTCAGAGGCCCGGGGGCAGGCATGTGGCCCTTCTGTGAAGCAGGGCTCATTCTGGGAAGCAGAATGAGCCTGTGACAAGGCAGGGAAGAGAGTGGGAGCCCTGGCCAGGCAAGGGCGATAGGCGATACCCTGGTTCCCCAAGGCTGGGTATCCCACAGAACCCCTCTCCAGAGGGCCCTCCCTCAGATAGCCTCCCCTCTGGAGGAGTGTGTGCCAACCACATTTTTGTACCGGTGTGTGTATGAGGCACACTTGTGCCCTGGCTGAGCTCCCTCAGGCTTCAGCCTTCTGCTTGATGGGCCTGCTGGGCAGGGCTCAGAAACAAGGGATCTCCTTGGTAGCCCCGTAGTAGGGCTGCTCCCCTTGGGAAGGACAAGGTCACAGTCCTCCTGGGATTGGGTAGCCTCTAGGACTGCCCAGATCCACAGACAATGACCCTCAGTTTCCAGAGCTTTATTGTTGGCAGACCTGCAAAGCAGCTAAACAGGGTGGAGGGGTACTAATGCCCAGCAGGGAATAGATAAAGCCATGTCCCTGGTCCCACAGGTAGTGAGGGGAGATGGGGCTGACCCAGTGCCTTGAAGCCACTGCCTTCCCCCAAGGAGAAGAAGGAGCTGCTTTGAGAGGGCAGTGCAGGCTCCCTCCAGGCTCTCCAGTGTCCAGTCAGGCAGCTGGATGTGGGCAGAGGGACCAAGCCAGAGTATCCCAGGGAGGACACAGAGGCTAAGCCAGAAATCCCATTAACTGTGCCCAACGCCCTCGCGAGAGCAGGCTCAGAGAGGCTGTCAGTTCTGTCCTCTCCCCCACCCAAAGGCGCAATTCCCTTTGAGCCTCTTGGAGACACTCCCCTCCCACCTCAGGAAAAGCAGGAGTTGACCCGGCTCAAATAATCTCGTGCGTGCGGTACCAGAACTCTTCACAAGGTGGCGCTCCAGGTTTTCTTTATTTTGGTCTCAGAAAAATAAAGATTGCGTATACCAGGATCTTGGAAGCTCCCCTGCACTATTGAGGTCGCTGATGCCCCTCGTCAGCTCCCTTCTGTCCCTCCTGATATTTACAAACGTTTTTCCGCCAGGGCGTCAGGACCCGGGTAGGGGGAAAACAGGTGGGACTGGGGGCTTGGGCTAATGCCCTGGGTCCGCCTAGCCATCTTCTGGGCTTCGCTGCGGGGAGGGGGAGAGGGGGTGCGGGGAGTGGGGGAAGGCGAGATGGGAGGGAGGTACGGTCGGCGGGGCTCTGAGGCGGGGGCTTCCCTTCCAGGTGCAGGTGAGTCCGGGAAGAGCACTATTGTCAAGCAGATGAAGTGAGTGCCCCTGCCCATCCCAAGGACCCCGGGGGTGGGCCCGCGCACGGGGCCTGTCCTTCCCCACCTGCCCACGAGGCGCTGACCCGGTTCGCCCCGCCCGCAGGATCATCCACCAGGATGGGTACTCTCTGGAAGAGTGCCTCGAGTTCATTGCCATCATCTACGGCAACACGCTGCAGTCCATCCTGGCCATCGTGCGTGCCATGACCACGCTCAACATCCAGTACGGAGACTCTACGCGCCAGGTGTGCCAGGAGGCGGGCTGAGCAGGGCCTCTGGGGACTGGAGGTCCAGGGTTGGGCCCACGGGCAACACCAACCACTCACGCCCTGCCCCCAGGACGATGCCCGGAAGCTGATGCACATGGCAGACACCATCGAGGAGGGCACGATGCCCAAGGAGATGTCAGACATCATCCAGCGACTGTGGAAGGACTCGGGTATCCAGGCCTGTTTCGAACGCGCCTCGGAGTACCAGCTCAACGACTCCGCCGGCTAGTGAGTGCGCAAGCGGGGCGAGGGGGCGCGGGCAGGGCCCTGCCACACCCCTCCACCCAACCCCACCCACTCCCCGGGGTCTCCCGCAGCTACCTCTCGGACCTGGAGCGCCTGGTAACCCCGGGCTATGTGCCCACTGAGCAGGACGTGCTGCGCTCGCGTGTCAAGACCACGGGCATCATTGAGACGCAGTTCTCCTTCAAAGACCTCAACTTCCGGTACGACCCATGCCCTCGCTCTCACTCCGGGGGCTTGCTGGCGAGTTCACCGCCCCGAGGCCCGGTCCCGTCCCGGACGCCCCATCCGGGCCCTACAAGATACTCTGCCCCTTCTCGGATACCCTGCCTCCAGAAAGGCCCAGCCCTCCAGATGCCAGTCCCCTCTGAGTGCCCCCCAGCCTGCATTAGGAGGCGAGGGGATGCCTATAGGTGCGTCCAGGGGGCTCGATACGTGGGTTCAGGCGCCAATGGCCCTGCAGGATGTTCGATGTGGGCGGGCAGCGCTCGGAGCGCAAGAAGTGGATCCACTGCTTCGAGGGTGTAACCTGCATCATCTTCATCGCGGCGCTGAGCGCCTACGACATGGTGCTAGTGGAGGATGACGAAGTGGTGAGTGCCAAGTACAGCCTGAGTGTTGAGGGGGGAGGCGGAGCTGCTGGCCGAGGGCAAGCGGGAGACAGTGCTGCGGGTGCGGGAGCGTCTGAGAGGGGACATTCGTTCCAGAGCTGTGTGAAGGAGGAGAGAAGGCAGCCAGCAGCTCCGCTGAGGGGGGTCGTGGGGGACTTGGAGCTATCGGAGCGGAGAGGCCCCGGGTGTCCCAGAGCCCAGAGAGGAGCGGTTGGCTCGTCAGCAGCGGCCGCATGGGGACGGCTGCCCTTGTCCCCCCGTGCCCGACAGCCTCTGCCCTCCTCAGAACCGCATGCACGAGAGCCTGCACCTGTTCAACAGCATCTGCAACCACCGCTACTTCGCCACCACGTCCATCGTGCTCTTCCTCAACAAGAAGGACGTTTTCTCCGAGAAGATAAAAAAGGCGCACCTCAGCATCTGCTTCCCGGACTACAACGGTGAGACTCCCGGCCCAGCCGCCAGGCGGCGCCCCAACCCCACGCTCGATCTCGGCCTGCGCTCCCCCCGCCGCGGGAAGGATCCACAGGGAGTGAGAGCCCCCTCCCCTGCCAGGGCCCAACACCTATGAGGACGCGGGCAACTACATCAAGGTGCAGTTCCTTGAGCTCAACATGCGACGCGACGTGAAGGAGATCTATTCCCACATGACGTGCGCCACCGACACGCAGAACGTCAAGTTTGTCTTCGACGCTGTCACCGACATCATCATCAAAGAGAACCTCAAAGATTGCGGCCTCTTCTGAGGTGGGCTCCTCGCAGGCCCGGATGCTCCCTGTCGTGCTCCTTTGTCTCAATAACCCGAGCCCCCGTCCCCAGCTCCCCACCCCACCTCACTATAGCAGACTCCGCCCCAGATCATCGGCTCCCACCCCATCGGGTCAGCTCTCCAGACTCTCTCCACTGCCTGGACCCCACCGGTTCCAGGCCCCACCCTGGCTCCTCAGGCTCCACCCCACTGCCACAGGTCCCTCCCCTGGTTCACAAGTCCCACCTACTTAATCTCTTTTGACCCCGCCCAAATCCCCAGATGTCACTGCTTCCAAGCCCACCTCCACAGGTCTCTCAGCCTAACTCAATTATCTTGGGGCTCAGGGATGCTGACATGGTTCCTTTTCTCTTCACAGGTGCCTGAACTCATGCGTGTCACTGAGACTTTGTAGTCCTAGCCGCCTTGTAGCCCCAGCCCACAGGACCCTATCAGCTTCCCAGGACTCCTGGGTCCCAGCCTGTGGCCCTACCAGCCACAGACCCAAAGCCCTGAGCCCCGCTAGCCTTGAGGCCCCGACCCTCCCCTGTGGCTCCCAGGTTTCCCAGAGCACAGTTCCCCCCAACCCCAGTGCTACCCTTCACGGCCTGGCTGCACTGGCCTCCAGGACCCACCACAGTCAGCCCCAGCTAGGAACAGGCAGGACTTGGGGCACTAGAGCTCACAGTGACTGAGCAGTGCCCGACTGACCAATCTCCTGCAGCTCTCCCACCCTGCCCGTGATTCACCTGGTGGTTCTGGGCTCAGCAAACAGCCCTCCCTCCCAGAGTTTCATGAAGGACGGGGGGCAGGCAGGGATCCCTCCTCCAAGCAGGCCTGCTGCTTACCATCAGCCCATTCCAGCCTTACCACTTCCATGTGACAAGTCTGACACCTGTCTACCCAGTGGCCAGTGACTGTCCCTCTCAGCAGCTTCAGGGATCCAAAGTCCAAGCCAGCTCTGGCCTGTGCAGCTCCTACATAGATGAATTAGTAAGTGGGGGCAAGACTGGGAGCCCCTGGGTGCTAGGGAGAGACTCAAGCTGGACCCTTCCCCACATACCAGGCTCAGAGTAACCCCTTCGCCCCTTCCCCTGTAAGCTCTCCCCCTCTATCCGTCCTTGGACACCAGATCCATGTCCTACCTCACCCACCCCCCAGCAGTACTCCAGGCCAGCTGGCCAAGGGGATGGTCTGTTGAGGGAGGGTACTGTTGACACCAGCTGTAGCCAATGGTCAAGCTGTTCTGAGGGGTGGCTGGGGGCAGAGTCCGGCTCCCATTGATCAGCCCCAGGCAGAGGATTTGAGACAGGATGGAGGCCCAGGTTGTGCCCAGATGGTCTACCTCAGGTGAGGTCACAAGCAAACCCAGGTGACCCTCTTGTCCCTGCTAGCAGCCTCTTACCTCTTCCACTCAGGGCCCATTCCCTGGCAGGAAAAAATTAGGCCCATGCCTGAACCATCAGGGACAAAGGCCCATGCTCCCACATCCCTGCTCCCTACTTCCTCATCAGGCACCGAGTCCTTTCGTTTGCCTGTGGGCTGGGGCCTGTGCTGCAGGTGAGGACAAGGAGCTTTGTCTAGCAAGGCCAGGCACGATTTGCACTCCCCTCAGCTAGATGCACAGACTCCGCAATAAACCTTTGCATCAGGCCCCAGCTGTCCTTTCTTGGGGGGAGGGGAGAGCATTAATTATCACAAGTCATGGGCATTTATTCAGTGCCCAGTGCTGGGCTGGACATGAGTGGGAAGATAGTCCCTTCCAGGGAGAAGCACCTAGCCTGACATGGCAGGGGGCACTCTTGGGGGCATGGGACCAACTTGTGCCTCTTGAGGGGTATTGAGGGGGAAGGGAGCCATGGGAAATGTTCACAGGGACAGCTTTGGATCAAGAGGGAGTTTTGAGGTGGAAGCTCATTCCGGTAAAGACAGTAGGGTGTACAGGGCCCAGGAAATCGGGCTTATGGGCCACAGTTCAGTGGAGCAGGAGAAGGGAAGGGGGACATGGGGTGGGGAGAGAATGGGCAGGTGCCAAATGCCAACCTGAGGGCCTGGGCTTCCTCCAGAAGACAGTGGGTCTTGGAAGCCCTTAAAGCTAGGACAAAATTTCAGGGCTGGGATCAGGGTGAGGCAAATGAGGCCCTCACCTCAGGTGCAAAATTTAAGGTGGTGCCAAAAAATTCAGTAATCAAGATAAATAATATATTAATGCAATACTTTTAAAAATCAAAATTATTGCAACAAAATCCATGAGGAACAAAATATCAAAATTTTAAATAAAGACAATATCCCAGAGAGCCCTGCCAAGCCATATTGGAGCCATATTGGAGCCTGAAGCAAAGGGAAAATGTCCACTCCTAGACTTGTTTTTATGTATTTTTAATGGTTAATTTTTTACAGAACATTAAAGTAGTTGAAAAAACATTGAAAAAATTGAAAGTAGGTACATTAAAACTCACAATATCATTTTAAGCTTAAATATCTTATTTATACCTAAAACAGAATTTATAATTTTATTTTCCTGGCTTTAATGAAAATAAAATCATCAATAATGTTTTCCAAATCTGCTTCTGGAAAAAATAATCATTTTTTTTTTTTTTTTAAAGATTTTATTTATTTATTTTTTCCCCCCAAAGCCCCAGTAGATAGTTGTGTGTCATAGCTGCACATCCTTCTAGTTGCTGTATGTGGGACGCGGCCTCAGC